TAAACGTCGAGATAAGCCGATAAAAAAAATACGGGTCTAATACTTTTTTATGCTTTACAACATATCCAAAGCTCATTCAAATCGGTGAGGGACACTTCCGACCGTTCCCTTGTCAGTGCAGATGCTCAATCGCCATCTAGTTAGTTTTTCTTTTCACGGACTATCTACATCGCTGTGGTAACTCCCGCCTTTTTTTTTCACTCTCTGTATCGTAGTGTGTCGAGCGGGATCTTTTCTCTGTACGCAGCGCATAATAAAGTTCTTCTAAAACTGAACAAGAAGTCACGAGCCTGCTCTCAATTGATTCCACGGCAACATGTTAAAAATAATAAAAATTTTATAAAAATAAGTGCAAATAATTCTATACATATTTACGAAGAATTTTGACGAATACTGAAATGACTTGTCTACGCAATTATCTACGTAGTTATATATTTTATATAGTATGTGTATGTAGATAACTACGTAGATAACTGCGTAGACAAGTCAGTTCAGTATTCGTCAAAATTCTTCGTAAATATGTATAAAATTATTTGCACTTATTTTTATAAAATTCTTATCATTTTTTACATATATGTTATATGTATATGTATATATATTATCATTTTAATATATATATTTTTTCTATAAATTTAAATTCATTTTTATTTGAGCAACCACCCTCCTTAAACACTTAAAATGATCAACATCAAATTCAGTTGACCGTATCTGGCAATTTTAATATTAAAGCATCGCGGCGTTTCGACCACGTAAAAAGCGGAATTGATGTATTTATACATGTAAAATATAGATAATTTTTTGTGTCGAACAAGAGCTGCGTTCGGCATAGAAATCCGGGGCGTCGGAGTGTTCTCTTTCATTAAAATGAACGAGAGTAACGATGGTAGAGTAAAGATGCGAGCAATGAATGGCTATACATGGTTACAGCGTTGGTGGGAATACATACATACTACATACGAGCTGCGTACGTACATACACACATATGGCACGTGGCTTGTGTGCGGCATGGAACCATTCCCACCATATTCGTGGTGATTATGAAACCGTGGTGATTATGAAACAGGTATTCGTCGACATCTCAAGGTTAGGTTCAGGTATTTTTAGGTATTTTCGCTAGCATGTCGAAAGAAAATGGTGATTGCCTGATATTACATTTGTCGTACGAAAATTTTGTAAGCGTGTTGATCGGCAGCTGAATAGAAAATTTCTATAGATACTTGAACAATTTGTCGTACGACAAATTTAATATTAGGCTAAGGCGGATGATTAGCGGAAAGAATCGAGGGCCTCGCTGTGCAATTGTTGCAAACAGCATTAATAAAACAAACTTAAATAGATGAACAACTATATATTTATATGAAGTATATGTATAGATTACTGTACTTATATGAAACGAGATAGAAAGAGAATATGACTATATACACACACGTTCCTTTTAATATAATATAATGCGGGAATTTTTTTTTCCGAGTGACAACCATGCTAATACGGGCCATTTCTTTACAAGCCACAATGTCAACAGAAGTACGTATTTGTAATAAATTTTCACTATTGCTCCGACATAGGGTACAACTGAAACAAATAGGAGAGTGAATCGGCAGCATATAGTAATAATATTACAAAACTTGACGCAAATCTATGCAATACTTACGGCTAAGATAAAGTATCCATTCACGGTATTTTGCATTTAATCGACTGTACCATCCAAGCGGCTCATTATCTGAAATGTTAATAATGTTTCGAGTGAATACATTGCACTTTGGAGCAATACATATCAAGCAGAGATTATTTAGAAAGTAATATCAAGAAATATTTATTTGTAATTTAAATTAAACATGCAAGTGAATAAAATAGGCTATTAATTCGAATCTGCTATATTGATTGAATGTGAATAATTAAAATAAGAATTATAGCCGAGTACTCACATTCTATACCATGCAGCTCATAGGTAAATTTTAGGAAAGCACGTTTGTCTAAAGTTATATCCAAATACCACAATCCATCTAATATGGCTGATACCATGTCATGAAATTCGGGCGGAGCATTATTCAAATGTTCTGTCAAAACATGCATCAACTTTTGACATAATTCGCGAGTTTCTGCTGCAGTTTTACGACACAGATTTAGTCTGTAAATAACGGCAAATTATTAATGAAATTAGTGGAGAATTATAGAACTAATGTATGTATATATTTAGTGCAGCTACTAGTTTTACTACTAGCATCTAATTTTATTAATTTATTAGAAACTATTATACAGAGTGTCTCATTTTAAATGATCCACGCAAATATCTCGAAAAGTATGAAAGATACGGAAAAACGTTTCAAACAAAAGTTGTTTGGTTCGAAGGGGGACATATGTAAGGTGGCAACCATGCTAATACGGGCCATTTCTTTGCAAGCCACAATGCCAACAGACGTACGTATTTGTATTAAATTTGATATTTGCGTGGATCATTTAAAATGAGACATCCTGTATGCTGTTGATGTTGTTCCATATATTACCGGTCGGGAATTTGCAACAAATGACCTATCACACGGTAGAAATGATTAAATGCTTCTTCTTCTTGCGGCTTATTGCACAAGCCGATTGACTTTGGGGCGGTAAATACGTATCCTACGAAAGCAAATTGTGTGATTGCCATATCTCGTTGGTAAATCCCTCCTACGCCAGCAACCTCTGATTTTTTACTGCTCATCTTATGTTTCCGGTGAATTACGTTTATTGTTTTGTACAGGCTAGAAACAGAATAGAAAAATTAAAACAAAATCGTGTAAACACATATTTTCTCTTACAATGAGAATTATAATATTTTATAATTCGAGATAGAGGTAAAAATAAGGGATAGAGTTTGGTAATTTAATAAATATCTTGAATATAGATCTAGTAAATCAGAAATACAAAGTCAATAAACTTACTCGGAATCCGGATCGTTTGGATCACTTGCATACAGGTTATAAATGTGTAGCAGAGTTTGGGTATATCTGCTAAAAGTCACGCAAGGTTTACTGCTTTTCTTAGTGTGTACGAGCACCTATTAAGAAAGCGCATAAAATGTATTTTTGTTTATTTCATTAAGAATAACGTATTAATTTTTTCAAACCAATTTATTTTCTGGTAAAAAAAAATTAAAGGTATTCCGTAGTATAATATTCCCTCTCGATCTTAAAATTATGATATGATTCGAGAAACAAGAAAGAGACCTTTTCTATTACAAAAGGAAAATTATTTACTGCTATTTTACTTTGACAAATTCATATACGTACTCTTAATGTTTCTGGGACTGCTATTATTGCAAAAAGTCCGGCGATAGAACTTAGTACCATTGACATCATATTTCGGTGATAAAAGTTTTGACCTCTGAAATGAAAATATTTAACAGCATCAGTGATTTTTATTGACCGTATCTGGCAATTTTTATAATACAAACAATTTATTAGTTTTTGAGATATCTTACTGCCCAAGTTAAAATGGGACACCCTGTATATTTATGATCTTTAGTTGATTACTTTTCTCTTAGATGTTTAGTGCAACAAGTGTTTAATTTATATTGGAGTACATTAGATTAAATTGTTAACATTCAACAATACAATTATTATTTTACACTTTTAATCACTTTTTATATCACGCAGTACACGAACGAAAGAATACTTACTCTTTGAATAATTTTGCATCATACCAATTTGGAAGATCGTTAGGTGTTATATTGGTGAAATTTGATTCGATTATATTATCATCCTTCAACAGTAGTTGAAGATGCTCATCTATCGTCGACGTTTGAACTGCAATATAATGATGTGTAATAATTTTATACTATTTAAGTTGTTCAATAGAATATTTTATTTTTTATTTCATCATTCATTTATGTTATTTGGCGAGTATAATACTGCGTATATTATTTTTATTGTATTTTGATAAACTAAACTCAATACAATTCAGTCGAAGTACCATAATTTTTCATTGTATTTTTTAATAATTTTTCCGAATTTATTGTATTAAATCTATATTCTTAATATTGACGACAATTAATAATGGTTATAACATAAACTTTTTTTGAATATTTTGATAGATATTTACCTTCATCGATATGTCTTCTTTTCATTTTGTTTCGTCTGAAGTAACAGAAGTAATAGTCACAACAATAGTATTATTTCTACTATTGCTATAATACTTAAAAGAACTCTTTAAAATGTAGGACTTTAAAATGTAAAAATGATTGTTTTACTTCACTCGATAACGCCCTACTGTAAAAATATAATTTGTTCGTAATTAATGGAAGTAAGATACCATACAGTTACACATGTAGTTCTATCCGCGACTTCGAAAATAATGTTACTCTCCATGGTACGAAGTTGATTAAATACACAAGTCAGTTTTTTTCCTCTTTGTTGTATAAGAGAATCTTTCTTGTTATTGTGTAAATATCGATTGTGGACTCGAACGTCATGGAAGGAGATATAAGATTGCACGAGACCATTGAGCCTATTCTTGGATTCCGTTTGATAAATGATTATCAGAAATCAGGGTTTTCCTTAAGTTGTTTCTTCTATTATAACAAGAGACCGTTTCAAACTGTTCTCCTCCGATTTGGAGAAGCTTTAAATATGTTTTCCAACTAAAAATAAGAGACGTTTATCGTAATGATTTCCGGATAATTGCCGCGTTCGTTTGCAATGCGGTGCCGACGTTTTGCAACATTGTAGTTCTGCATCATCAGGGCTGGGAGACTCTGATACCATCTGGAAGCCATTACGACTAAAAAAGATAGCAGCCGCGAAAACTTGAAAGCCAAAAATGAGAGACACGTATTTTTTTTATACGTGCCCTAACGCCCACGTTTAGGGGGTGAAACACCCCTGTGAAAAAATCATTTTTCTCTTTTCATGCGAATATCTCCGAAATTATAAGAGATAGAAAGTTCTCTTTTCTTTTAAATCAAATGGCTTTGAAAGTAGGTACTACAAAACGGCGACAGAAAAAAATTTTGCAACTTACCCCCTTACCCACACAAATTAAAAAAATGTTTAAAACTTTGTTGTCACCGAACAAAAGATTTTTTTTTACGAATTCAAACATGATTAAGTTGCGTTTCGTAAAACTTATTTCGAAAAATGTATATGCGCTATTTGGCCTTTCATGCAACCGAGACTTCACGCAACACGTTTTTCTTGTAAGAGATAAGAGATAACAAATACATTTAGGGGATATTCTAATTATATATAATCATAATGTAATTTTTATTGCGCAGCGCTAGACTACCACTTATAACATTTCAATGTCAGATAAGTCAGATAGGTATGAGAGTGTCTAATTGTGTGAGAGTGTGTAATTATTTTCATAGATATAATAATTTCATAGATCTAATAATTTTCATAGAATCTAATTTCTGTGCGAAATGTTTGCGAATTGTTTTTATTGGCGAGTGGATTGAATGGCAATTACCCAGCGTGAGAGTAATAAGCATTATATAATTCCTTACGGTTACAATATAGTAATAAATTGTCTCGCACCGATTAGTAACGTGGTTCTATCGCCTTCAGACTGTTTTCGAATCCAAAGGGCCGAATCGTGAGTGCCCTCTTTTTGATAACATAATGTCCTATCTTATCTGCTAACTCTTATCGATACGTGATCAAGACTCACAGTTTTTGATACTTTTTTGATATTGAAATATTATAAGTGGTAGTCTAGCTGGTGCGCAATAAAAACACATTATGATTATATATAGTTAGAATATCCCCCAAGTGTATTTGTTATTTCTAAGCCTAAGGCCACATGGATTGATTTTTCCGCGTAACACGTATCGCGTAACGAATCATATCGTTCATTCTTTTGGAATGTTCCAACGGAAATGTCAATCGTCGCAATTCATTGGTTACGCGATACGCGTTACGCGGAAAATATCAATCCATGTGGCCGCACCCTTATTACAGAAGAAACGTGTTGCGTGAAGACTCGGTTGCATGGACGGCCAAATATTGCATATACAGAGGCGATTTTAATTCTTTCTCGAAAATGGTTTTACGAAACGTAAATTTATCATACCTACATATATGTTTATATAGTTTATAGGTATATGTTTGAATTTGTAAACAAATAACCTTTTGTTCGGTGACAAGAAAGATTAAAAAATTTTTTAACTTGTGCTTATGTTGCAAAATTTTAAAAATTAAAATTTTCTGTCGCCGTTTTGTACTTTTGAAGCCATTTAATTTAAAAGAAAAAAGAACTTTCTATCTCTTATAGTTTCGAAGATATTCGCATCGAAAGAGAAAAGCCGACTTTTTTTCACAGGGGTGTTCACCCCCTAAAAGTGGGCGCTAGGGCACGTATAAAAAAATACGTGTCTCTTATTTTTAACTGGAAAACAACATATTCAACGCTTATCCAAATCGGAGGGGGACACTTTGAAACGGTCCCTTGTAAGAAACATGAACTTTAGAAAATTACTAAAATGAGTCATAAAACTGTGATTTTTGACCATGTCTTGGAATAAGGTCAAGCTGCTATTACAAATACTTTGAAGCGTTTTACTTCTCCCATATTTCCGCAATTTTGTAAAAATAAATAAACTCGAGGTGCGTGCTGTGATCAAGTATTTTATGAAGAAGAGCTTATTTAAAGACTTATTATTACTCGTATATTTCTATGAAATTGTTTTATTAATGATGAGCCCTTATTCACAAAGTACTTAATTACAGCACGTTTATTCATTATGCAAAAATCAACATCACATTCGTTCAAAGATGTATAAGAATTAATTATTTGACGAAACAAATTGGAACATTGCATGTGCAATAGAAAATTTGGGACTTTCCATTTAACGTATGACGTCCGACGTGCGAGTACGATATGATTTGTACAATGTTCTGAGAATTTGTGAATGACTCGTGTGTTTATCCAAACATTTCTGATAACCTCAGTGACATTCTACATTGATCAAGTTAATTTCATTGAGAGAAATTTCTACATTGATCAAGTTAACTTCATTGAGAGAAATTATATGTGTATTTATTGTGAATTCATAAGAGAACAAGTAACAAAACATAAGAATAATAAGTTTATCCAATGATACATTAAGTTGATTAAGTCATTGAGGAAAAGTATTTTAAAGCTCTTTAAAAAATCTAATGTAATATAATTCTTCGATTACTACCGATACTGTTGATTTTTGCTTTTCATTAATTCTATAAATATGTATATCAGAACAGCACTAGGAAAAAGTATATCTCTTCGAGAACATGAATGATTGACAGAATTATTGTAATATTCCGATAAGGTGATTAATAATCTTATTTAAATATAAAAATGCTAATCATACGTAATTACATTAATTATAATAATCAAATAATCGTATAGTGCACACACAAAAACTACTCTATTGCTCAAGTAAAAAAATACATTTACATACCGGTGTCTTGTAAAAATGAATTTTTTCATACAGTTAATAAAGATCATAGTAAATATGCATAAAAGATCACACCTCACCGATTTCATCGCTACTTAGGTATGTTGCCTTGACATTTTGTTTAAAATGTCGAATTTAAATGCGTGGTATGCGGGACTCCGAATTGTATCGGAATTTGCTAGCGGTGCAGTGTTGCGTGTCATAAGTCTGTTTTAAATGACATATTAAATGACAATGTATCATAATTCAATCAGCTATGGATGGAATTAAATATTGTCGCTATGCGACGTGACTCTTCAAAATTTCTCTCGCACCGCTCGCTTTTCATATAAGATCATTATGAGATAAGATGAATTTTAAACGCAGTTCGTAAAAAAGTTAAAAATGCTTCATGCAAGGAAGAATTCTCGTGGCACAGAAATGGGCTGTAAGTGAATGGGTTAGAAATTAATTTAAAAATCATATGAAAAAAAGAGTTGCACACCACACGAAAAGATTTCTTGGACACAATGGTATAACGTAGAAAATTGTCGTTTGAACATGACTCGACTAATGTCAGACAGAAAAACAAAATTAGGAGACAAAGTAGAGATGAGTAAAAAGAAAGGTGGAGATGAAAAGAAAAGGAAGTATTTTTCCAATAGCAATTCCGTATCAGTTTGTCTATTAACGCAAGCTTTACTTATAAGTAGCACTTTATTCGAATTTAGTGTAAATTAGAATGTTTACTGAAGTTATCAGTTACCTTAATACACGTTATATTTTTTATTTTATTGGTATTTTGTTCCAAAATGCGCTCTTTTTTCGTAAACATCGTATACATACATGTAGTGTTAATTTACCACTCTAAAAATAAATGTTACATATACTTTATTTACTTATTATATAAGTTTTTTTAAAAAAATCTCGTCATTAAATATTCGCACAAATTCAGTACTTGCTGTAACTAGCAGACTTTATCGCAAATGAATCGAAACTTTTGTCGCTTGAATCGTAATCCATTAGTTCAACTTCTCTCCGAGATTTCTTTTTATAAACCGACAGTTTGCTTATTTTCCGCTTCCGTTGAATATCTCGAATCACCTCGCGAATCGATCGTGAATCAGCGGCTTGTTTCAACTCGTAGAAAAATATCATTGTTGATGTTAGGAGGCCAATGATGAGTGCTGTAAATCCGGCGCCTAATGGTGTCAGTCCGAGGACTGTAAAGTTTCCATTGAGACCGTCGTATTCCTTAAGGACTTCCCTAAGGGTCAAACTAGTCCTTCGGTGAATAACGTCGTTGAGGTGAAAGCGAGCAATGCCTGATTCCTTTATCCATAGCGTTACCTAGAAAATAAACAAAATTTTAGGATACAGTAGAAAGCAATTCGCCGATATCGCGTCAACACAGTCAGTCTTCCTAGAAATTTATTGAAGTAAAATAAGCTTCTCGAACTTTGCACTTTGGAGAACTCCATTACAATCATTCACACATCACTTGACAGTAATATATTTAGAATTTAGATTAAGCAGTGGTTGATTGCTAAAATTAATCACATACATTTTTATGAGCTCAATTAAATGCAAAGAAAGACAATAATAGCCATATATCACAGCTAAAAACTTGCATTATTTTGAATACATGTATTGAAATATAAAAATATATGTATAATTAAACATTTTCGTTCAATTCGAGCCTTTTTGGATTTATCGATTTCAACCTACACTCTGTATCTGTATATTTAATTAATGTTCACTATGTTAAGTATAGATTTATGTATACGAAGTATATGTACTGATCGACTGATCTCTTTCGCATGGTCATATCTCGATTTTATGCAATTTTGTATTTTATCTGCGACCATGCGAAACAGATGAATTGATATAATTCATTTATTACCAAAGAAAACTCGAGTCAAGTCGTACGTTTGCACTACGATCAATATGTTAGCCTTATTGTCTTTTTGTATATTCAACTGATTGCGAATGTACTTTCAAATTAAAAAACTTCAATATTCAATTTTAATACCCCAACACTGCATGTAACGTATCATTTACCGTTAAGGATAAACATCGATAGAATTGCGAGTTGAATCTAATTATGAAGAAAATTAATCTAAAATAATAATATAAGTTTTACAAGCTTTTATTGACAGTTATATCTGGTTATTTAAAATTTTATTTCCGAATCTAGTGATATCTTGAAAGTTCTTAGAAAAGAAGCTTACGAATGCAGTTCTAATTATATCTTTGCGTTTGATACATTTGAAAATAATATAATTGATCGCACAATTGTCGTGTTACCGTGTCAATAGGTCGTAACAGCCACGGTTGGACAGCAAAAGACGAATAGTAATTGCCCACTTTTTCTTTCATGAGCCTGTAACCCTTGCACATAAACACAGTTTATAATTCATTTTGGCTATTTTTAATATCTTAAGTAGACGCATTTTCGCATCTTACTTTAACATCCTCATTGAAAATATCATCCTCGGGAAAGAATATCGAGTCTATGATTTTCCCGAAAATGGCGAATTGACCCTTTTTGATTAACGTATGTATATATGCCTCTCGATCACGCACGGGAGTGTATCTCGACGGCAATTGGCTCGTGTAAGGATCCTAAAGACATATACGTCTGTCAATAGTAAAAAGTAAAAAAGAATGCCTGTTTGTATAAGTATACATCATACATACATCCATATCAAAGTAATCAGGCCAGTATGGCACTGGCCCCATATGACCCCATGACAAGTTAGCCTCGAGAAATTGACGTACCGTATCAATCCTGTAAATAATACGCAATACTTCGATATTTTTTCTTTTAAATGAATACAGGTGGATGAATAATATATGGCTATTTCGGTTTGTATGTACAAAAAACGCATTCACTTTCACAGTAATTCCACAATTTCTTAAAAAGAAGCGCAAACAAAGGAAGACTTAAGTTAGTGCGTGGCAAGAGACATTTTGCTTAAATTAAATAAATTTAAAATGATTAAATCTAAGGCTATGCACGCAAATTCTTGTTACCTGGCCTCGTATTCCGAACTCGTGAGTCTTGCTGCAAGACTGCTGCAATAAGCGGTTACCAGCAGGAATGCTGTAGTTTGCCATAAATGTAATTCGAATCTAGCGTTAGTGGTGTTTCGGGGCACCCACGTGCCCACTAAACGACCGATTAATTCCGTAATTGTACCGAAAAAGCTCCGAAAACCTAAGAAAATATATTACATCTAACATTTTGTCTTTTACATTCATTTATATATTTTATCTACATATTATATCACAGTATACAACTTAATATGGAACTTTATTATTTTCTTATACCTCTATAAAATAAAGAAACAAGATAGGAAAGAAAAACTGTTTGGGTAAAGCAATTCTGTTTGTTTGATAAAATTTGCAGCACATTTAGAATATAGGATGCATTTATGTAAAATGAAAAGATCCAAGTACACACTGGTATACATACACGGTGCATATTTTTAACTTACGTTTCGGAAATTTGGGATCGAGCCTAGCACGTGTATACATGTATATGCTCTTAACAAACAACATGCATATCACAAGTATCCAACAATCCACCGAGAAAGGTCTCGTGAGCGCCCAGAAGTTGGTGATCGGTTGCGGTCGCGGTACCAAAAAATCCAGCTGCATCTGAATCCATGGCATGGACATATTCACGAATTCGTTGTGATTCTGCGTCAGCCAGATACTCCCAAATGCTAGGTCAACCTTCATAAGGGAGCAGAAATTATTTTAAATTACGTCAGTGTTTTTTCTTGACCATACACCTGGCATCTTTGATAATGCAGAAAATTTATTGCGAAAAGTATTACCTCAGCCAGAGTTTGAAACTGGACCTCCCTACACTCTAGGCGGGCGTCTCACCAATTCGACCACCGGGGCATATGATAATATTTGTCACAATAACGGTATGTTGTCTACGCGTATCTTTTCGACTTTTGTGCGAAATATTACCTCGACTGAGCAGGTACCTCAGTCGAGGTAATAGTTTTCGCAATAAATTTTCGGCGTTATTAAAGATGCCAGGTATGGTCAAGGAAACACTGACGTTGTTAATTACCGCTGGCGACATTAAAGAACTCTGATTAGTTGATTATTTTAAATTGTTTTGTTACATCTTAATCGAATTTAAAAGAATCCAATATAAAAAATTTATCGGCAGAGAGATTGGAACTTGGAATAAATTCTTTTCTCTATTTAAAACGTGCGAAATTAGAAGAAGTGAATTTCAAGTGGCATAATAATTACACAATGTAATTACTCGAACAAAATACTGCTATAGCTCTTATAGGTTCGAGTTAATAATGTTACTGCTGCGTTATTAACTGTGCCATAAAAATAATTTATTACTTGAAAAGAATTTAGATTGCTTTAATTCAAGTGATTGCACCTTTTTCTCTCGTATCAGTTGGATGACTCCACCACTCCAACTCGTACCATTTACGCGTCGGCCATATCTAAAAATTAGCTTATTTCTAAAATTAATATTCGGCACGCATTAACATAATGAAAAAGGAATATGCAGGGTTACCGGTAATTTCCTTCTAACTTTCGTATTGTCCAAGTGAAATTCAACTTCTCCGCCATGACCAGAAACATTTTCACTTCTATTCCATCCTTTTCATTATCTGTAAGATGTACATATAAACACGTTATTATTTCACTTTTCTTCCAAGTTAACTGGCAACTAATTAATATCAACTATTAATATTTTACTCACCATTATCTGCCAGAAAAACCTCCGTCTCGACGCCGTTAATTATTTTTGTGGTTGTTTCCTTAAGGTAGGAAAAGGGTGGCTGATAAAAGGTACATACTTTCAGTTCTCTACCTCTCAGATTAATCATGTTGAACTCAGACATCAGATCGTCGTAACTGTAATTTGTGCCATTCAAAATACGCATCATCTTTGCTCACATAACACTTTATCGATATAAAAAAAATTTAGAATATTTTTAACTGAGGTTCATATACATAATTTATTCCGAGAAATGTAAACATGTGCAATAAGTTGCAGAGCTTGCATACCTATTTACTTTTAGAAAGAATCTAGGTTCTAAGTAGTTTTCTGATAAAGTCCAAATTCCAGATCTGGATACAATATTTGCATTGGAATTTCCGTATAAAGATACATTAAAAAGTTTCGAAGTATTCTTCAAGTCACCATTGATGATAACAAGAATTTCCGTCGTTGAAATGGAAGAAGGTACTCTGCCGAAAGAAATGTATATACTTGCATGAATTTTCAATTAACTCAATTTTCATTAAATAGCTGTTAAATTGATATTTATCTTTTATTCACGTTCTATATTTTATATGCATATCATTGAGATTAATTATATTATTCTCTGCATTATTAGAGGAAAGTCCTCTATTACGGGGTAGGTTTCTAACACGAGATAGCAGGTTTTCAATACCCAAATTAAATCACAAATCTTTTTTGCAACGATCACACAATCTAAGAATGAATTTTCCATTAAACAGATTTCGCTCCAAGGATAATAAATTCACAGTGGAAACAACAGCTGATGCCTATTAATTTAACAGAAATTCCCGCTATCTCGTATTAGGAGCCTATTTCACAATATGGGACTTTCCTCTATTATATAAAAGTTAGTTATCTTTAATTGTTTTACACTCGCATAGCCTTTTCTATTTCCTTATCTGTTGGCCCCAACAAGAAATATCCTTGACAGTCGTAGATTATTTTGTGTAGAATATACTCGTGCGGATAAATATTGATAAATTGATGGAATAATACTTCCACGTCGTAAACTGATTCTAAAAGGAAACTTAGTAAGCTGCGCATAATTTTTCTGAAATAAAATAGGTGCGCGCATATACGAACCACTTAAAAAAATATTACAGCACTTGGAGTAAAGAAACGACTTCTTCACCAGTGTCGTAAAATTTTCCGTTGAAATCCAGGACTCCGCCTGGGGTTTCTTCATAATATTCTTCCTGTCAGTTAACACCGGAATAACGATGAGTGATAAAACACCGAACATTAAATTCACTTTCATGATGGTTCATTATCAAAGTAATTGTCACAATTCAATAACGCAGTCTTTATGCATAATAATTTTAAAAGTTATAAAGTCAATAAACAACCGCACGTATGTAGGGATTAAAAATATCGACCATCTCATACGAGATATTGCATATGTGCGTATGTATGAGATGCAGTGTTAATTAACTCGTATCGTCAGCAATCGTCAGTATGATATAAGATATATAGGATCTTTTTAACGAGGTTTGAATAAGAGTTATCGTTCTTGCACCCTGGAATGTGGAGTTGTCAATGATTTAACACTTAAGTTAATGTTGATTTAGACGCACTTAATTACAATTGAATTAATTAATATTATCCACCGCAGCGAATTATCTGCTCGATTATCATTCGTCCGCCACAGTAGATTCTTGGAAATTTCGTTTTTCTTAAATTATTACACTCGGCAACTAGTACGTAACACGATTAGGTCCGACATGGAAATGAGAATCGACTTGCACTTGGTGTGTTGCCCAAATGGAATTGCATGTGGGATGGTGCAGGTGTGTTTGTACGAGCGCGCTCATATGTGCACCCGACGCGGCTTCGTGTACAAATGAGACACTCGTGGTGCAATTTGACAGCAGATAACTACTTTGATAGCAAACCCTGAATAAACATGTAATTACGATCAACGTGGTTGACATAAGTGTAATTACGTGGGGAATAAAAAAAGCTCTCGCGCAATTATCTCCCGCGGCCGCTTATGGCGCTTAATTGGTAATCCATAAAAAATTGATCGATAGCATACTTTATGACGGCAAAAAATGAGTCACGTGGCGAATTCACTATTATTGTCTCGACAAGACAAGAGTTATCTAACTAGTGTCGCGAGGTGTCCTTGGTGTTACTGATCTACATGGAGATACTTGATGTTCAGCCCTTATGTACAGCAATAAATAAAGATGTGCCATGCAATATGCATCTATAAACATAACACATTGAATCATGAAGATAATGCGTTTACATGTCGTTAAGATGTTTCGCATACGTTATTATCTAACGCTATTGTCGCTGATAATGGAGAAATCGGTTTCAGATAATTAATAATAATAAATTTACTCTATCGAAATTAGTTGAGTTAGTTACAATTAGTTATTGTTAATAACATTGTCATCCAAGAAGTTTATAAAAACCGATTTAAATGAATACATTTGTATTCGATATTTTGTTTTTATGCAAATATGCTATTTTTATCTAAATTATTAATTTCTATTAAATTTTAATAAACGATGACGAATATGTTCGACATTTCGATATGTTCGATATTTTAAACAGATTTACATTCAATTGTCATTAGATGCTGAAACTTCCACACAGTATCAACATTTTTTCAGATTAACGCGTTTCTATTCTCGCAGTGCGCTATCAAAAAGAACTGCATTTGATATCATCTTCTTTTTATATAGGTCGTGAAAAGAAGGAAGCTATAAAATAATGTTAACAATTCCCCAGTGTATCGTAGAAGAGTCGTTTATAACAATAAACGATAAAATACGCAAGATTGCACTTAAATATTTAATAGATATTTCTAAGAGAGAGAGAGAGAGAGAGAGAGAGAAAGAGAGAGAGAAACGGTTCAATAGAAATATAACGTGACAATAATAACGATTATTATATATCTTGACATGTTCATGCTCGTCATCATAAATAACAACGACACACTGCAGGAATATTAACAAGTTGTTATCGTGAGCGCCTCTAATCGTTCTACGATCAAATGGTCTCTACAGACTAGTGACCGTGAACTAACGATTTGCAAAAAGACACGATACTGTTGGGGGCGTGTGTTAACTTTGCACCCCAACTTAAAAATTTTGTAGTTCTGACTGGAGTTCCCGCTTCTTTTTTGAAGAGTTTAAGAGTTCCCAATACTTTATAAAAAGAGTTCTGCTGATTAACGATCAGAAATTAAAATTTAAAAAATCGGGCGCCAACTTCTTCTCGAAATTTGAGATCGAATAGTTCTGAATGGTCTAATAGCTTCATTTTGCGATTATCTAGAGTTCCTGATACATGCAAAATTTTTTCGGTTAATTAAAAAATAATAAAAATGTTTGAAAATTTTATTTTGAGATACAATAGTTCTGAGTGATTTATATCGTTATTACGTTTATTTCGAAGAGTTCTCGCTGGCTAAAAAAATTTTTAACCGCAAATATAAAAAGTTCCACACTTTAAATGACATTTTAGAAACTAGTAAAAAAATGACGCGTATCTCTGAAGTGAGTCACTTAAGGCAGGATACCACCTTTGACTGCGATTTTAGAGGCGTTTTTCATGAATTTTTTTTGCATACAAAGAGTGCCCAGAAACAAAATCGGTTTTAGTCATTCATTAATGTAATTTTGATCTGTAATTACAAACTGAAAAAGTTACAAATAATCTTTTGTAGGTGGCGCCAAAATACATTCCTTTGGAGGAACACCGTTAGACGGCGTGTCAAATTCCGCTCTATACGTGGCTCCTAGAAAAAAAACCAAAGAATGTTCCTATTAACAACAATATTTTTTAATGCTGTACGTAGGGATTTTACGAAATTTCGATTTTTAAGAAAATGGCGGTCATTTTAACAAAAAGGTCAATTTTTTAGGATAAAACTTTTT